GACAGCTGTTTCCTTTTTAAGAATATAGTGAAAATAAGCTTCTTTCCTGCATCTGTGTTCCTAGAGTTTCGCCCTGGTGAGCCATGGAAAGGTTATCCAAACATCGACCCCGAGACTGACCCTTACGTCACTCCTGGCAGTGTCATAAACAATCTCTCAATTAATACTGTGCGGGAAGTTGACCACCTCAGGGACAGGAACAGTGGTATGTGTGCTCAGCCTGCCTGGGGAGCTGTGTGCAGCCTTCCCTCAGCCACACACACTCTGCTCGTGCTGTTTGCTGCTTGCTCCCTCCTGCTTTATCCCTTGTGTTTCCTCCTTGCCCCTCTCCTGGCTGTTCCCCTGTGTTTGCTCCTTGTTCCTCTCCTGGCTGCTCCTCTGTGTTTGCTCCTTGCTCCTCTCCTGGCTGTTCCCCTGTGTTTGCTCCTTGTTCCTCTCCTGGCTGCTCCTCTGTGTTTGCTCCTTGCCCCTCTCCTGGTTTATCCCTTGTGTTTCCTCCTTGCCCCTCTCCTGGCTGTTCCCCTGTGTTTGCTCCTTGTTTGCTCCTTTTCTCTCCTGCTTTATCCCTTGTGTTTCCTCCTTGCCCCTCTCCTGGCTGTTCCCCTGTGTTTGCTCCTTTTCTCTCCTGCTTTATCCCTTGTGTTTCCTCCTTGCCCCTCTCCTCGCTGTTCCCCTGTGTTTGCTCCTTTTCTCTCCTGGCTGTTCCCCTGTGTTTGCTCCTTTTCTCTCCTGGTCTGTCCCCTGAGCTGTGCCTGTCAGGGCTGCAGCTGATGCTCGGCCCAGCCCTGCTGCTGATGCAGAGCTGTCCCAGGAGCATGGGCTGTGCTCCTGATGTCAGTGTGCACGCCCAGGGCTTTGGGAGCTGCAGGACCGTGGCAGCCCAGCTGTGCAGGAACGCAGGGCTGTGCTGTCCCTGCTCCTGCTGCCACCACGTGCCCGTGGGCTGAGGATGGGGACCGAGGGCTGCCCGTCCCTCCCCTGAGCGTGCACAAGCCAAGCCTGTTCATCCTACTGCATTTGTGGCAAGCTGTGCTGTGTCTGACCCTTCTCTCTGTTGCAGGGTCATCCTCATCTTTGAACACCACGCTGCCTTCAACTAGTGCCTGGTCATCCATTCGTGCCTCCAACTACAATGTTTCCCTCAGCAGTACAGCACAAAGCACTTCAGGTGATGTCTGCTTGTATTGTTCTGGTTCCTTCCCCTTCACATACTCTGGGGGATCCTGGATGTTAATAAAAGTAGTGCTGAGGTCTCATCAGCGTGGTAACTCACTGATTTCAAAGCAGCAGTTTCGATTTTACCCTAATTTAGCAGCTTTTCTCTGCAGCAAGGTGATGGTGGCAGCAACAGTGATTGTGGTTGTCTTTTGTGTCTTTTAGTAGCCAGAAACAGTGATTCCAAATCAACGTGGTCTCCTGGATCAGTCACTAACACCTCTCTGGCTCATGAGCTGTGGAAGGTCCCTTTGCCACCTAAAAGCATCACTGCTCCATCCCGGCCACCTCCAGGGCTGACAGGCCAGAAACCACCCCTGTCCACCTGGGATAATTCCCTCCGTCTGGGTGGAGGATGGGGAAATTCTGATGCCAGATACACCCCTGGTAAGGATGTCCCTTGTGCTGGAGGCTCTGTGGTTGTTACTGAGTCTCCTGTGCAGTCGGTGCCCGTGGCCTGAGCTGGTCTGTGTGTGCCAGCCTGCAGTGCTGGGGAGAGCTGGGCAGGACAGCTGGTGTCTAACAGGGCACAGCTGCTTGTTGTGCCCTCTGTGGAGCTGTCTCTGCCAGTGCTTGCCCAGCTGGACCTCAGTGCAGCTGTGTGGTTAAACGTTGTTCACAGAGAGGCTCGTACTATAATGAATTCCATCATGATAGCCCAGGGAGTTGTCAGACCGGCTTCAAAACTCTTCCGAGCTTGCAGCAGGCATCAGAGCAAAAACATTTGTGTTTTTGCTTCAGTTCTGATTATCTGACAACAGTGTAGGTGCTTGTGCCCCTGCTTACAAGAGCAAAATGCTTCCCAAAGTAAATAACATGAGCAGTGCTGTACCACCCCACGGTAACCTTCTGAGGGTTTGAAGTTGGTTTAGTGCTGCATGAGTTTTTATTATCAGTGAATGTTGGTGTCAGCTGCTCCACCCAACTGCCCCGTGCCAGTGTGGCAGGCACCAACTCCTGTTTTCCCTCCTTTAGGTTCAAGCTGGGGTGAGAGCAGCTCAGGGAGAATAACAAATTGGCTTGTTCTAAAAAACCTTACACCTCAGGTAAGGCTGGAGCACACAGGAGGGGGCTCTGGGCTCTGGGCAGGCTCTGCTCCGGGCTCTGGGCTGGGGTTCAGCTCTGGGCAGGCTCAGCTCACTCTGTGCACGTGTTTCCCCAGATCGACGGCTCAACCCTGCGTACTCTGTGCATGCAGCACGGCCCACTAATAACATTCCACCTGAACCTCCCACATGGTAATGCTTTGGTCCGTTACAGTTCAAAAGAAGAGGTAGTGAAGGCACAAAAATCTCTGCACATGTAAGTGTTCTTTTTTCACCCAAGTTTTACAGAGCTTTAAATGTTTTTTTGGTGTTAAGTGCTGCGGTGTGCAGGGGAGGATTCTCAGAGCCAGCCGAACGTGCAGGGGTTTGTGCCAAGGGTTTGGAGCCCTTGGCAGCTGCGAGGGTCAGGCAGTGCTCTGTGTAAACGTGCTCTCTCCTCCCTCCACAGGTGTGTTTTAGGGAACACTACTATTCTTGCTGAGTTTGCCAGTGAAGAGGAGATTAGTCGCTTCTTTGCACAAGGCCAGTCCCTGACTCCGTCTCCTGGCTGGCAATCTCTGGGATCCAGCCAGAGCCGACTCGGATCCATCGATGGTTCCCATTCGTTCTCAAACCGTAATGATCTAAATCACTGGAATGGTGCTGGGCTGTCGGGAACTAGCAGTGGAGACCTTCATGGCACTTCGCTTTGGGGGAGCCCCAACTATTCCTCGAGCCTGTGGGGTGCCCCGAGCAGCAATGACACCAGGGGAATTAGCAGCCCATCCCCCATCAACGCTTTCCTTTCCGTTGACCACCTGGGTGGAGGTGGAGAGTCCATGTAACCTTTTAGTTTTTTCAACTAATAAACTGTGACCTCAAGATGTAACAAAGCAGCACTAATTTGGACTTTTCACCTACAGCAAGGGGGTCACCTGTGGAAACAGTTACTTTCTGCACATTTTCCACTTTGTTTTAGCCCAAAACATATCAGTTTGAATACTTGAATCATGCAGGCCAATATTATAATGTGAAAAAGTATATATTTACACTTCCAGATAGTGCTATACACATATAAACCTGCTTGGAATGAGCTCATTTGTGTATATTCATCATGTTTATTCTTTGAATTCCTTTTTTTTTTCTTTTTTTTCCTTTTTATTTGCATTTTGCTGATGATGTTGGAGTATGAGCTTTTCTGACGTTGCACTGACTGCTGCTCCCCGTGCACTCGGCAGTCGCGGGCGGCAGCAGCTCACGTGTAAGTGTTTACTCAAGGATGTTCCTACAAACAGTGTGCGCTCTCTACTATGCCTTGATGTTTGCCTACCTGCTCGTGGTGTCGTGGCGTTCCAAGATCGAGTTAGGATACTGACTTAGGATTATGAATGAAAGTATTGCACCAGTTTTTTCATGTATAAAACTAAAGAATTTAGCTCTGCAGTTTAAAAAACTGTGGCCACAGCTGTGACTTGCAACCCAGCCTGCAAGCCAGGGGGGTCCTGCACTTTCAATAGGCTTTCAATTTTGTTTTGGGGGTGCCTGTGTTGGCACCTTCTTGTTTACAGAATATTTTTTTTGTTTTTTGAGAAAAATGTTTACTCTTCCATCATTTAAAAAATTTTTAAAAAGACAAAAAAAAAAAAATTGAGAATGAAAAAGATGCTTTCTATCTCTGGGAATAACGAACAGTGTTTGGCCATGTCCTTTTGTTTTCTATTCCTGTATCCTAAATCAAAGAGCATGGCTCTCAGGAAAACCAGTTCCCCAGTAAAAACTCCTTGTAGTTTCTTATAGGAAAAAAAAAAAAAAAAAACTCAACTTTTAGCACTGATAATACTTATTGCTCTGTAAGACTTTTCTCTGCCAAAAAAAAAACGCTTCAAGCTGGAGTTGGACATTCTGCTTTTGACGCTGTCTTTTCTTAGTGAGTGGTGGTGGTTTGCTAATAATCCGTAGTTATCCGAGTTTTTGTAATCCCATCGAGTGGCTGTTCCTGCTCTGTGACTGTGTTACCGTGGGGCCGAGTCCCCAAGCCGACCTGAGTAACTATGCATCCTGTAACCACGGGCTGGGCTTACAGATCGTGTGTGTTTCCAGTTTTCATGTTGACAAAGTTCTCGCAAGTACTTTCTCGCAAAAGTGAACGAGTTACATCCTCTTGCCACAAAAGGTATTATTGAATGCTTGTTTAGTCCATGAATTCCAGACTAGGCAAGGGTAAAAATTTAACAGTGCAGAAATCGCCATCATTTCATTGCCTTGATTCTAATGTTTGTGTCCGAAGATGCAAAAGAAGTCAGTGGCTTTTAACTGTTTACAAATAGAATGTGATTGTAAAATGTACAGTTTGGTTGTGTTTGAATTATGAAGTTTCTCCAGATATTAATAAATCATGATGTTTTTGGCTGCTCAGCATATAACTGTCTATTTTTTGTGACTTTATTTGTAGGCTGTTTTCTATACGATGAGAATATCGACCGATCCGGTAGCTCTGTATTCCCATAGGTTGAGTTTTCTTTTAGCAAACTGATTTTTTTATGAAGAGATCTGTGTTTTATTCTAGCAAAAATCTCCCTCAACGTGCCCCCTCTGAGACTATGAGAGTCTTAAGTGTAGAACTGCAGCTTGCTTTTCCTTTTCTATCCGAGCACCTTTGGGACCCCGTTGCCCTCGCCCTCCGTACAGCGCCCCATTTCCAGCCCCCACCATTTGTGCCCAGCTCGATGCTCCAGAGGACACGTGCGAATAAGGAGAGCATTTTGGAAAATAAACTTTAATGCTTACGACATCCTGGTGTTTATACCTCATTGACATGAATCATGATGAATGACGCAGCAGCGCTTTCGTGTGTCTGTCTCCCTGCGGCGTGGCCGAGTCGCTGCGGCCCGAGCACGATGTGCCCTCCAGAAGCGCCAGCCTTTCTGCCCAGACTGCCCCCAGAAGTCGTGACCTGGTGGATGCCAGCACTGTGTGTCCTGACACCTCTCTGTATCCTGCTCTGGAGTGCCCGGTCCCAGCCAGAGCTGGCGAGGAAGCGGGGCAGGGACATCACCGACATCACACCCGCCTTGATTGTATCGTCCAATTTGTGGAGTCCTTCACTGAGCTCGTTACGTGGAAATAAAATGTGGTTGGTTTTAAAGCTGACCCTCGCGTCCGTCTGTGTCCGTGGCCTCAGGCCGTCCAGCTCCGCTCCAGCGTGCCCAGCTCCAGCCCCTCGCAGAACGACTGCGGCCAGCGGGCCTTGTGCTGCACGGAGGGAATTGGGCTCGTGCCGTGTCCCCAGCCAGGGCCAGCTCCCGGAGCCCCGTCCCGGCTGGGCGGGCAGGGTGCAGCCGGGCCCCTGCTCGCCCCGGCCCCTCCAGCCCTCCCCCAGGCCCTGCTCACCGGCCGCTGCCGGGAAAGCTGCTGCAGAGGGAAGGGGGCCCACTGGATGGGCTCCGCGGGCCAGCTCGACACCGAGATGTCGCTGGCTTTCCCCGAGTCCACCATGGGGTCGTTGATGCTGCTGGAGCTGGTGTCCCACTCGTAATGGAAACTGGGGAAAGAATCCACGGCTGGTTGATGGGAGTGGGGCTGGGGCAGGACAGGAGCCTGTGCTGTGCCCGGGGATGATTGCTGCCACTGCTGGGCAGTGTGAGCCCGGGCCCGGAGCTCAGGGAGCCCCCGGAGCTGTGGCTTTGCTCCCGATCCCCCAGACCCAGAGCTCAGGGAGCCCCCGGAGCTGTGGCTTTGCTCCCGATCCC